GCTGTGGCGCTGGGCGCTGTGCTACGCGCTGGGGCGCTGGCGTGCGCGCTAGCAGCAGCGCACCAGGCCCGGCAGACAGGCAGTAATCCAAATGGACCCAACCGTTTTTAAAATTTACTCGACCAATTGAGTTTAAATTTTTACACATAGAAATAGACTCAGAAAGACACGTTTTCACCAAGTTTTATACTCAAGACCTCAGTTTAACCTGAGCAACCAATTTTTACGAAAAAATGATGCAAATATGAGTTTACAAGTTCTCAGGGCAATCCTTGGAATTTTTAAATAAAAATTGGACACAACACACATAACACTAGAATAATGTCACTCACCAGAAATCACATCAAAATACCAAGGATACAAATTTTAATGATTTTTAGAAGTTTCTGCCCAGAATTTCAAATTGACATTTGACCTAGCTAAAGATATTATTTCGACCTGAAACCTTTACACCACATAACATACCAAAATAAGGTCATACAGTTTAAATTTTACAGCAATCGGATGAACACACGATTTATGATGATTTTTATAAAAATCAGCAGCAACTCTCGATTCAAAAATACATATATGACCAAATACTCAACAAAAACGTCTAAGGCCTTCACCATGAGGCCAAAGACTCATAAATGTTCCATAGTCCACAGCCCTAACACGATTTTAATGAGGGTTCATCAAACATGCATAACAATGTGGTTCGGAGGCTTATTTCCTCGAAAACAATAGAGCTCTAGATGACCGAGCACCCTTACTTATTTTAAGAAACTGTTTTAACCCCATATTACTCATGATTTATAAGGATTTTTAAGCACAAGAAATCGTCCTAAACATGCATGCAACGAAAAGTACGATTTTAAGGCTTTAAGATTTTTAAATCCGATTTTCTCATTCTACCCGAGAAAAACTTGATTTCTCTTCATGATAAATCTTAAAATATCATGTTATAGCTAGGATAAAAAGATAGCATGAGCTAACCTTCACCGAAGTCGAAAATGAGACTCAAGCCCTTAACTCGGGTCTCCTCGGGTCGCTATAGGACGTGGCTTGACTTGGTGGCCTATAAGCTGAAGATGGTGGCTTCTCTAAGCTCCTTATACTCCCAGAGATGATATGAACTCGGCTTGGTGCAGCAAAACTCGGCTAGCACAAGAGATGGCTCGGTGCTCCTCTTTATCGGGCCTAGGCGCATGCATGAAAGGCTCTCGACTATCTCTCTCTATATGGCTGAGTTTGGGTGAAATTATTAAGTGTTCAAGAGTGTTTACTTGCTGAAGAATGAGGTTAAATGGAGTCTTGGGCGGATTGCACTAGGTAGCTCATGGGAGACACATTTTAAGTGCTCTTTTCCCACTTCATGTGCACCTAGGGACTTGGGGCTGCATTGGGGATGACTTGGGTGGAATTTGAGGAGGTTTTCAGAGCATCTTGGAAGAGGACAAAATCTCTGGTCGGACACAAGGTGAGTGGGGGACATAAACTTACACATGTGCATTAAAATAATGCATGCACATGCACCCACTTTGGCTAAGGACAAAATGGCTTTGACTTAGATTATCCTAGGGTCAATTGGGCTTAAA